GGGTGGATGGATGTCGGGTGGTGGGGGTGGATGGATGAGACGCTATAACCAGATACAGGTGTATAATGATGTCAGTGGTAGAGAATATACACAAGTAAAAGAAACACATAAAGATGCTACATGGTGCAGTTTATCTAACAGCTGTGGCCATGTGATTAGACCCAAGTCACAACTCAGGCTGCGCTGGAGTTGAGTAGGGGAGCGGAGGGAGCTGAATTTGAGGAGGAAAGGCTTCGGGGTAGGGCTGTTAGCAGCAGCACCTGCGCAAGGTGCTAGCAGAGGAGGGTACGTAACCACCCGCCTGGTGTGTGCTGGGCCACTTCACCTCCTGCGGTCGTTGCAGCCCGGTGCAGCCTCTGGAGGCTTCCCAGATGAGCAGGGGATGCCTGAAGGAGTGGAAGGGCCTGAGCCGCAGCTGACGCCGAGGAGCGAGGCTGACGTGTGGTCTCCCTCTCATCCCCGGCCTTCACCCTCTGCATACAGCTGGGATATGTGGCGCGACGCTGGTGGAGGAGGGCTGCTGCCAGCCTGCCCCAGGAGCAGAGCACCGCACTTCTCTCTGTGCTGCACCCCTTGTTCTCAGGAGTGACAGAAAGGGAAAGGAGTGACCCTTGGCCTCCCTACCAGGCACTGATGGGGTCACTCACCGATCCTCTTCCTGGCTGTTCCTGAGACTTTTGGAGATTCTCTGTGATCGATATTGGGGAAAAGACTGTGATGGGACCTGGAGCCTGCCCTCTGTCCAAATAGCGTAGGGGTGGATTTAGGCAAGAACGCTCAGAGGAAATGCTGTCTGTGCTGCAGGAAGAGTAGTGTGCAGGGCAGGGCGTAGACGTGGGCCTAGCGGGCGGGTGGGCGGGTCGGTACCACCGGAGGAGCCCAGTAGCTGGGCAGGAGAACTGCCCGGAACAAGGTGCTGGGCCCAAGCTAGCACTAGGGGACCCTGATTATGGTGTGCAGACTGTGGAAAGGCTTGTGAGGAGCAGCGACCGGGTGTGGAGTCTGAGGAGACTGGTCGTTTGTGGTGTCTATGAGGAAACAGTGAGTACAGGGTGAGACCTGGAGACTGAGCAGCGTGTGGGCTCTGTGAGCGACGTAGTAGGATGCGGGTGGTGAGGAGACAGAGTGGGGTCTGCGAGAGGGCAGTGAGTACGGTGTGGTATTGGTGAGCTGACCGAGGACACTGTGATGAATGTGAGGAGATGGTGGGGCACACACTTTGTGAGGGGAGGTGAATGGGGTGTGGAGTATGTGAGGAGAAGTTAGAATGTCAGGTTTGCTTGGAAATGTGTAAGAGGAGAGAGTGCGGAGGGGATGTGGTCTGTAAGGAGCCTTGCGTGGGGCTGAGACAGCAGAGTGTGGGCCTGAGGTGGCGCAAGTGGTGTAGTGTTTGGGGAGACAGTGAACAGTGGTGTGGAGCACAGAAGGGGCAGCAAGCAGGTGTCTGTGGCTGGTGAGGAGGCTGGCACTCCAATGTGCACCCTGTGAGGAGCCTGAGTGGGGCATGGGGAGACCCTCTGTAGTCTCTGAGTAGAGAGTGAATAGGGTGTAGTGTCTGTGAGGAGTGGAGAGGTCAGTGACTGTGATGAAAACCTCATAGGCATGGGTGTGTGAGGAGCCCAGAGTTAGCACTTGTGAGCTGTGTTTAGGGAGGGTGAGGACCCAGTGAGTGGAGGAAGAGGACAAGTGAGGAGACAGTAAATGGGGGTGCAGAGTGTGAGGGGACAGTGGGTATGGCTCTGGGCTGTGTGAGAACCTAGTAAGCAGCAGTATGTGATGTATGATGAGATTATGAGTAGGGATGCGGGTATGTGAAGATAGTGAGTAGGCTGTGTGCTGTGTGAGGACCCAGTGAGTGTGGGTTGGCCTGTGCGAGGGACAGCGTGGGAGTGGGCTGTGTGGGGAGCTGGTTGGGCGTCGGTGTGTGAGGACCAGTGAGTGTGGGTTGGCCTGTGTGAGGGACAGCGT